TCTAGAAAGAGTGCAGAGAAGAGCAAGAAAGAGGATTAGGGGACTGGAGACTAAAACATATGAAGAACGGGGTAGCTCTAGTTTGATGAAAAGAAGGACTAGGGGAGACATGATAGCAGTCTTCCAATCTCAGGGGCTGCCCCAAAGAAGAGGGAGTCAAGCTATTCCCCAAAGCACCTGAGGGCAGGACAAGCAATGGGTGGAAACTAATCAAGGAGAGAAGCAACTTAGAATTCAGGAAAAATTTCCTGACATTGAGAACAATTAATCAGTAGAACAGAAGTTGCCTCCAAAAGTTGTGAATGCCCCAACACTGGAAGTCTTAAGGAAGATGTTGGATAGCCATTTGTCTGAAACGGTATAGGCAGGGGGTTGGACTAGAAGACCTCCAAGGTCCCTTCCAACTCTGCTATTGTATTGTATTTTATTGTATTGTTTAATGTTTAATGAAAAGAGGGACTAGGGGTGACTTGATAGCAGTCTTCCAATATTGAAAGGTCAAACACATCCCTGATGCAGCCCTCAATGAAATTGAGTTTGACACCCCTGATTTAAGGGACTGCCAAAAGAAGAGGGGTGGGTCAACCTATTCTCCAAAGCACCTGAGGGAAGGACAAGAAGCAATGGATGGAAACTAATCCAGGAGAGAACCAAGCTAGAACGAAGGAGAAATTTCCTGACAGTTGGAACAATTAATTAGTGCAGCAGCTTGCCTCCAGAAGTTGTGAATGCACCAACACTGGAAGTTTTAAAGAGATTGGATAACAATTTTTTTTAATGGTATAGGACCAGGATGGTGAACCTATGGTATGCGTGAGCCATTTGTCAGGGCATGCGAGGCGTTGCCCTGTCAGCTGGCCAGCGCGCAAGTGCCTTCTGGCCAGCTGACTTCAGCCTTTTTTTGAGGCCATTTTTCAACCTCCCAAGACTCCAGAGGCTTTATAGGAGCCTGGGGAGGACGAAAACAGCCTCCCCTGACCCCCCCCCCCTCCTGAGACCCTTCAGGAGCTTCCCTGAAGCTTCTGGAGCGCAAAAAAACGGCCCTACAGGCAAACTGGAAGTTTGGGAACGGACTTCCGGTTTGCTCGTAGGGCCGGTTTTAGTCCTCCGGAACCTTCAGGGACCTTCAGGAGGCATCCCTGAAGCCTCCGGAGGATGAAAAACGACCCTATGAGCAAACCGATCATCTCCGTGTTGCCCGTAGGGCCGTTTTGAGTCCTCCAGAGCCTTTGGGGAAGCCTCCTGAAGGTCCCTGAATGCTCTGGAGGGCTAAAACCAGCCCTATGAACAAATCGGAAGTTCGTTCCTGAACTTCCAGCTTGCCTGTAGAGCCAGTTTTTTGAGCTCCGGAGGCTTCAGGGAAGCTCCTGATGCCTCGGGGGGGGGGGGGGTGAGGGGGTTGTTTTTGCCCTCCCCAAGCTCCTATAAAGCCACTGGAGCCTGGGGGGGGGGGCAAAAAAACATGCAAAAAATGGGGGGGAAGCGCTGGTCATGAGCACTTGGGTTGCACACAATGCATTACGGGTGTGGCACGCTTGGAGTGTGACACCCCTGTGCTTCCCTCCCCCCCCCCTTTTGGCACGTGAGCCAAAAAAGGTTTGCCATCAGTGGTATAGGACTTCCTGCCTGAACAGGAGGTTGGACTAGATGGCCTCCAAGGTCCCTTCCAACTCTGTTATTCTGTTAAATTGCCGAAGTCAGAAGTGGAATGCGGTCTGACATTAGCCCTTCCTTGTGTTCTCTCCAGCTGCAGACATAGGGGTTGGAATCAGCGGGCAAGAAGGCATGCAAGCGGTGCAGTGCAGTGATTATGCGTTGGCTCAGTTCCGCTACCTTCAGAGGCTTCTCTTCGTCCATGGCAAGTGGTCCTACATCCGGATCTGTAAATTTCTCCGCTACTTCTTCTTCAAGACATTTGCTGGCATGATGGTGCAAATCTGGTTTGCTTTTTATACAGGATTCACAGCACAGGTGAGTGTTAATCCCCATACCCCACCCTAAACTCCTGATTCCGATCTTTTCAGTTGGCCTTTCATTTCTCGTATGATGTTGGAAAGCTCCCAGCCAGACATGGAGGAGGAGGTGTCAAGCAAGGAAGTAGTCTTGAATCCTTATGTGGCCACAAGAAGCATAACCCTGACACCCCACCCCTTTAAGTTAAATGAAACCTAATCAGTGTCAAGTTTCCTAATGATGCCATAACTGATTCATAATAATTGTTTGTTTTAATACGAAAACCAGTGATTTATTGATAGCTTCATTAGGCAAGATTTATTCGCAGCCAAATCTTTGCTCTGTTTATCTGCTTCTGAACTTTACCCTTGTTCCTCCCCTCCCCTCAGTTTGTGTCATAAATCACATTACCCAGTAGATACACCCCTCCCAGCCGGCAGCAGTAATCTGAAATTCCAGATTCCAGCCGAGCGGTATGCATGGAATTTACTCCCACTCATTCTGTTCCCATGACAACAAGGAGAGTTGACAACAAGTTTGTCCCCAAGGAAAAACAAGAAGCCTGGGGAGATTCTTGTAATATAGGTAGAACACAATAAAGTTGTTGACTTGAACCTTTCATGAGTGGATCTTGTTGTTTGTTTGTGCCAGACATGTTCATAGCATTTCTCTGCTCTACTAAATTTTGTCATATTGTCAAAGAACAAAGTAAGAGTTCTCTGGCATGTTCTGTTCTTGACAAACCCATGTTGGCTTCTAGTTATGACTTTGTTTGTCTTTAGGTGTTCGGAGATTAAAAATCTTCCCAGGTATTGACGTCAGGCTGATAGCTCTGTAGTTCCCCCCCCCCTTTTTTCCCCTGAAGGTGGGAACTACTGTATTTTTTGGTGTATAAGACGCACTTTTTTCCCTCCAAAAAGAGACTGAAAATCTGGGTGTATCTTATACACTGAATACAGCATTTTTTGCCTCCCAAAACTCCACCCCCTTCACCAAAATGGCCGTGCATAACTTTTAGGAGCCCTGCAGAATGCTCCTGGGGACTGGGGAGGGCAGAAATGAGCGAAAAATGGGCCAATTTTTTGCTCAATTTTGCCCCCCCACCCCACCAGGAGTACCCTGCAAGGCTCCTAAAAATTATGCATGCCCTTTTTTTGACAAAAAAATGGGGCCATTTTTGCAAAAAAAAATGGACCGTTTTTGCTCATTTTTGGGGCCCTCTACCCCTCCAGGAGCACCCTACAAGCCTCCGAAAGGCTATTCATGCCCTTTTTTTGAAAAAGGTTCAGAACCTTGGGGTGTAATCCATCTGATCCTGACAACAGAATAGAATAAAATAGAATAGAATAGAATAGAATAGAATAGAATAGAATAGAATAGAATTCTTTATTGGCCAAGTGTGATTGAACAC